TTATATATATATTATATATATATATAAATAAAAAGAAAATAATTTCATTTAAATGTATAAGATGAATTTTTAAATTTTACAATTAAAATTGTTATTTAATTCTTATAGTTGAATGCTATAAAATTGAGAACGTGTCAGAGACGCTTGGACGCCATGATGGTAGGTGGAACCTGTTATCACTTATCCACCGACCTGCTTTTTCAACGAATTTAATACTGTGCAGTTTAAATTTTATTTTGTTATAAATATTTTCTACATAGTTTTTAATTAAATAAAATGTTTCAGGACGGCATATGTGATACTGCCGACATTTTAAATAACGTTCCTGCTAAAAAGGTATTTAAATTTTCTTTTTAATATTCTTTATAAGTGACATTTAATAGAAAATTTAATTTTTTTTATATATAAATTTATCGTTTATGTTTTATTTTTTAAATATTAATAATTTCTATTTCTAATTCTAATTTTATTTATTTATATTTACAGACAATTCATGCTGACAATGTAGACCTTTCTGATAAGTCATTACAGGTGGATATTTCAGATGCTCTTAGTGAAAAAGATAAAGTAAAATTTACTGTACATACAACAACTACATTACCGGAATTTCAAAAACCAGATAACTTAGTTGTAAGACAACATGAAGAATTTGTTTGGTTACATGACCGATTTGAAGAAAATGAAGAATATGCTGGATATATTGTATGTATATTAAATATTTTTTCTATACTAAGTATATAATTACAATTGTTAGTAATATTAAAAAAAATTTTTAGATTCCTCCTTGTCCACCACGACCAGACTTTGATGCATCTCGTGAAAAATTACAAAAACTTGGAGAAGGTGAGGGTAATATGACACGTGAAGAATTTAATAAAATGAAACAAGAATTGGAAGCGTAAGTTATATATAGTAACTTTAAAATATATATAATTTAAAATATTTTTCAGCATAAATACATTTTATATGAGATATATAAATCTATATATTGACATTTTTTTTTTTACAGTGAATATTTGGCAACATTTAAAAAAACTGTTGCTATGCATGAAATGTTTTTAACTAGATTAGCACATCATCCAGTTTTTCGTAATGATCATAATTTAAGAGTATTTCTGGAATATGATCAAGATCTTTGTGTAAGAGGTAAAAAAAAACTCATATAAAAAAAATAAACTTCTTAATTTTTCTTAAGAAGAATTTCATTTTATAAAATTTATCAAAATTTATTATTAAATTTATATAAATATATATAAATTAATATTATATAGTATAATATAATATCTGTATAATATGAATAAAAAATACAGATATTTTGTTTCTTCAGGAAAAAATAAAATGGAAATGTTTGGTGGTTTAGTAAAATCTTTTTCCACTACTACAGATGAATATTATTTATCTGCAACAGTAAAAGATGTTAATGATTTCTTTGATCAAGAAATGTCTTTTTTACAAACTTATCATCATAATCTAAAAGAAGCAACAATTCGTGCAGATCGACAGACAACCAAACATAAAGATGTAGCAGATTCATATATTAAAATTTCCACAAATCTTTTGCAGTTAGCTACAACTGATACTGGTAAATTAGAGAGATTTTTAACAAAAATTGCAGAAATGTTTGAGAAATTAAGGGTAAGATTTTTTATAATTTAATTTATTTAATTTTTTTATTCATATTTATATTTTTAATATTACAATTTAATAGAAAGTAGAGGGACGAGTAGCATCTGACGAAGATTTAAAATTATCAGATACTCTACGTTATTACATGAGAGATACAGCCGCAGCTAAACGACTTTTGTTTAGGAGATTAAAAGCTTTACATGCATATGAATCTGCGAATCGTGCTCTTGAGAAAGCTCGTGCCAAAAATAAAGATGTTCATGCTGTAAGTATATTATTTATAACATTATAACAATAATAAATAGTATATGTATTCATTATA